CACACACACACACACACACACACACACACACACACACACACACACACGGCATTTTAACTTGCTTGCTCGTTAATGTGATTACGCGAGCGAAAATCTAATAACTTATTTTAATCGTGGCGATATGAATTCATGTTAAGTACACGCTTCGTAGATATTTCGCGATCTATATTCCGTCGTCAAGTCGTTCTTGCGTCAAGTCGCTCGCAATGTTTTTTCTTTCGGCCGCAGTAGCGTCTCGTGGTGACAAATCGTAATCTTGAAGCACCGTGGAGCATTTTATTGAAGATTTCTGTTGATATTTTTCAGGCGCGATGAGTTCAAGTCGCACGGAACGATTCTTTTAGCATTTTAGCTTTTAGCTTTTAGCTTTTGTGGAAGTCTGCACATGTTCGAATCATCGAATCTCTTCTACTGTTTCTATACTCACGCATCGCGGAATCGAATCGCTCGTTCTCGTCGTGGCCCTGTTCGGGCCGTCGTGTGCCGTCACATACCGCTACTGGGGAGACCACTTCCGGTCGCGCATATACCGCCGTCGCTGCTCTGACTGACGCTGCTGTAACTCACGTTACTTGCTTGCCCTCCCGTTGCCATTCCGGAGATATACTGAAACAAAATAATTACGATTAATGCTTTTGCGTTCGTTTTGCCATTCGTTGTAAGAATGATTCACCGCAACAAGTGTCGAAGTAGTACCAAACAGGTTTTACACGTTTTATAGCGTGTAAACTTGCTGTGTTCTCCTTCATTCTTTTCCAGAAACAAATATGTATGTATATATGTATCCTTCGCGATTGGGGCAGAAATAGATTTTCGATAACTAGCAGAGCAACGAATTTACACAGATAGAATTTTGCGTCCGGCTGTTCCGATTGTTCGTGCTTTTTTTATCGTTACATTCTACCTTTGTTTTAAGAGTACACATTTTTCATCTTTTATTCTGAGAATTAATAACGTGTCCGCGCTACATTGGCGAGTGCTTTAGTGCTTACACGTAGTGAGAAATGAAAAGCGGTGGATTATCATTATGGCAATCGATACATAAATGTGGTATAGACTATACTTAAATTTGTATAAAAATTTAATTTGTCCTCCGCGTGAGATGACTCGACAGTTGACACTCGACGTATCTCACCGACGCCAAAGCGACGACGCGCGGAGACGTATAAGGCACAAGTCTCACTGTTTTCGTCTGCTTTTTCTCTGCTCTCCTTTTTTATCGCGAAAAATTCCAAATCGTATAATCGCGTTAGCTGATGGCAGCTGGTAGCTGGTAGCATAACGTAGGTATTTTCTTGAAAAAATTCCGTGTATTTTTTCCGCGGAAAACGAGCACCTTTATCCGACGCGACGCGACGCGACGCAACGGGACACCCAGTTCCTCTCCTGTCGTCGTCCTAGGGACAATCGATCCATCGGCTTCGCCTCAAACGCAACCAATCTCTCCGGTCTCCGCGCTCGTTGCTTCCCTTTAAAGGTCGCCACGGATCAGCGACAAGCTTTACACTTCACGCTCATACCCCGTGCACACATGGCTTTGCGCCGAATCGTGCGAATAGTGCGGTCGAAGAGACAACCCCAGGCTGAATAGGGAGAGGGTCTAGGTGGTTAAACGGTTTTTCGATAGCTCTTGGCCGTAAAGCAAATCATTCGATATTCGGCCAGCCGTGAAAAAAATGCCATCGCAAATGCGGATGAGTCGAGTTTCAAATTTATATAGTTGGCGACAAAGTGAATAAAGTGGGCAAAATGGATAAATGTTATATGTCCAGATTCCTGTTTACATAATATTTTCCTGCCTTCTCTCGCCTTTTTTCTCGTCTTTAAACAAAAGATAATTTAATAACGTAACTGCTCGATAATATCGATATTTTCGCCAATGTAATTACATTGCACAATATCTCTGTTAAAGAGATTTTTGTATATTATTTATTATTGATTTGAAAGACAAATTTATAGATGTCGGTAAGTATTACGTATTATAGTTTACGGTTTACGCGATAATTCACCGAAAAAGTAAAGTTTCGCGCGCTCGTTTTGTCTTTCGTCTCTTCCTCTGTCTCATCCTACATCTCATGGGATAGTGACCGGATCAGAGTTTTCTCGTTTGTTCTATCGGGTATTGAATTCCCCAAGGTCAAATAATGCTCCTTATTTTTGTCTTCTTCTACTTTTATCCGATATATCCCGTGTCCACGACTCTCCTTCTGGTAACGCGACCGCGAAACTAAAAGTATCTATGTAGGTTATTGGAGATAGCACGAGGTCGCACGTTTATTTTAGATTTTTCAAACGCGGACATACCTAGCTACATCAATTTTGCCTCGTACCCACGATGTAATATCTTGTCTTTTGGCATATTCCTGATATTTCCCGAATTTTACGTAATTATATATGTACGAGTACTGGAGTACGCGAGTACAGTTTATAATTGTCATGTATTTAATAAGTTATATAAATAACAAACATTTGGCAATAAAAAATATTTCACAAAAATGTCTAAAATCTCACACGCACGGAGTTCGCACTCCAATTGAGCAATATCTATGAAAATTGAGCAATATCTTTGCACTCGAGTAAGTAGTTTGAACGAAAAGCGCGTCACAGGATTATGAGCACCGTTATCGTTTCTAATATCTGCATATATAGTCACTTACGTTCTTTATGTCATCAAACTTTTACGTCTTTCAAGCAGCGCGCTTTATAGTCTCTGATCATAGGTGTACTTTTAGTGGCACGTCGTTCGTAATATAAATATACGAGATTTGCATGCACGAAAATATCGTTTTGTTATTATAACTGCTCATATATTGTGTATATCTTATTACTCGGAAGAAATAGTCTGTAAATCGCACGTAATAAAAGTATAAGAACTATAAGACATCACTTTTCAAGAAAACTGCCAAAAATGAATAACGAGGAAAGTATCTATAGCAAGAAAGTGCATTCTTAGATAGTGAACAGTGCCATGTGTAAGTGCGTATTTAAGATCAAGTGTCACATTTACCAGTAAAAGTAAAAACACATACCGAGAGTTTATATTCTATGGGAATACGTTGATATTCGTTGATGTTCGTTGATCTTTGATACATAAGGGTCTTGGAAAACGGACAGAGGATCGTGATTACTTGGAAATCAATGGCTAAACTATATATATGTGCACACACACACATACACACACACTGCTTTATCTATCGTGCATTAAGGACGAAGGAAAAGCGATATAAACAGAAATAAAGAAAAGGTCTCGAGGAATTTCACGATCAACGATCGATGACCAGCTCGCGATGATATTCCGTTGTTAAATGTAGGTTTGCTCGCCGGAATTTTCTCGACTTCCCCGTACATGATGGAGGGAATACGCGGAGTAGTACCGTCCGGATGCGAATTTCTGAAAAAAGGAATATACTGGATACGTTCCCGTATCTAATAATAAGCGTTAATAGTACCCTGTCGTCCGAATCGTTAAGATTTGTGACACGTGACACGTCGCTCCTATCAGCATACCTATTGACGCTTATTCGATTCGAGTGGAAGACCCTACATTTCTGTTACCTATATATATTATCACGTCAGCATAATATAGACAATGTATCCGAAACGTTTTAAAAAATGAAAAATTATATAATATATATCTTTATATAACATTCACCGCACGTTTCACTGTGAAATTGCAAGTGCTATTTAACAGCTGTATGTTATAATTTATAATGCCTATTATATATATTATAATACCATTAATACCATTAACTCGGAAATTGTTTATTTCTCTTTTCCGAATCTCTATCTCTCTTCTTGACAAAGTAGTTCGAACAACACATACCATTAATTACAGTAGCAATACTTCAGTAGCGATATTTAATGTGCATATTTGTGTAATATAGTTATTTGTATAATTATAGTTTCATATTTAATCGTCCCAGTAGGAATTTTTATTAAAGGTGTAGAGTTTTCTCATGTAAAGATATTTCTTGATATAAACTATGAGACATTTATTTACATTGTATTTTTTATTGTCAATTGTATCTATCCCGATCTTTTCAGCATAAATCTTTTTTTTTTATTCGTTTATTCGGTATTGTTTTTATTCGTAAGTAAAAAATGTCATTATAATTTAATTGCTTATGCAAGGGTAATTCACGAGGGGCATTAAATGAATTTAGGCAAGATTGTTCTATTATTAGGCAAATCGAAATAAATCTAAATTAAAAATTAGATTTGGGGCCATGTATGCTATTCAACATTCTAATTTCTAATGTTACTTTGCAATATGAATAATATTTATAAAAAAGCGATAAATGTAACTCACCTGACTTGGTTTACATCTAAATGCTGGTTGATACCGCCGTTTCATTCGTCTGGGGCAACAGTAGCATAGAATTCTGACGAAAGCTCTGAAACGAAAAAATGATACGGCTTGCAACGTTAACCAAATTGCGAACGGTGTGATGAGATTATCATCACATAATGGAAGTATTTATCTGTATGAATTTCTGTGCTTTTCTTATATGGACCACCATGCAAATTAATATACCTTAATCAGATTTGCGGTATGCGACGTAGACAAGAGCGTTAATACAATATCGTGACGATCGTGACGCTTTGCCAAGTGTGGCTTTTAACGATTGCATGACTGCTACATTTTTTTTTTCCAAGTAAACAGTATCGTGTGTACGAATATTTGCGTAAGGGCTATGACGATGAAAATGTAACATGCGATCAATGCTCGCGTGCACATTGCCTTGTTTCGATGTAGAAGTGTAATAGAATTTAAAATCTTTTTCAATCTATTAATGAGTTTTTTAGTATTTAATTTTGGGTAGAGACGCGGTTTTTCCGCGAATTTAATTATTTTTAAAAACCGTAAAGATATAAATATGTTTCTTTTGCGTTATGGGTGTACGCGTATTATGGGTGTAAACCCAAGTATCGATAGCAGTCCGGATAAGTAGTCCGCGCGTCGCTAAATGGATGATAAATAGATTATCTTTCTGGTGAGTGCACGAACGTGACGTTACGTGATATTTACATTTTGTGATCCATGTAGAATGTGTTATTACGTTTTCGCGAGTCGAGTATCCGAATAGCGTAGTGTACTGCTCGACATCGTTGCCTCGCTGCATTTCGAAGCGGTTATTGATGCGGTACGCGTAACGGCTAACGCATAACGCGTAAACGCGCAACGCGCAAGTGTTGAGACAAACAACATGTATAATATTAAACTGAACTCGTTTGACTTTCATCGGTCACAAGACTTTTATTCACGTCGCGTCTTTTTTATCGTGCTGATAACCATTTCTTTTGCTACTGGGCTACCATCACGACGTACGACCGATCGATCTGTTATCTTGAAAAATTTTATGGAACGCCAAAATCAGCGTGACGAAGCGTCAAAGTACTTAATACCTTGTACGGCGAAATTTATCGAGGAATATTTCGAATATCCGGATCGAATATCACTCTTACTACCGGATATGCTGCAAGACATTTCCGTTGTCATAGAAACATTGATGAACGAATTACGTATTACAAGCGCTATTTATACATTAAACGTCAGTCTGACAAATGTAATGGAAACATACGACGCTTTGACAAACGTTGTTATTCTGTCAGAGAGCGGAATCACTCTCGAAGCGAACGATTCCTCTTTTGTCAATGACTGTGAGCACGATTGCAATTTTATAATAGTGCTAACAAATCTGTTCACCGATGAAGAAAGCTTTCTGATAGAAGCTGGGACGCTCGTACAACAAATGTCCCTGGGATCGATTTTTAAGCTCGAGATATTGGCGTCGGTCGGAGATTCGGTTCTGCTCGCCAGTAGCCTTCCGGTCCGGATCAACGAATCGTACACACTTGCCGAACCAGCATTTTCAGGCAGATGTGAACAGCAAGCTGCTGCAATTCGATGGCAGCGCTTCACAAATAAAACGACATCGTTACTCGACGCTAGTACCGTGAACGCGGCGATGTTCAATAATTTTCCATTCACGTTTTTCATCAACGACACCAACCATTTCAGTTTCGGTGGAGTCGAAGGCTCAATGGTGGAAGAAATTGCACGTAGCATGAAAATTAAGCTCAACAGGGAGACTATTGAAACGATGGAGAAGACTACGATTAAAACCGAAATATATCTGAGACTTTACAATGCGACCCACGATTTAGTGTTTGGTGGCCTTTTGTGGGATTTTAGCCGAAAAGTGACATACACGACTTGTTATGGTATGGTGCACGTTTCATGGATAATACCGATTGAAACGAACGTTTCTCTACGTGGCTTGATATCTCCGTTTGGCGCGAATATTTGGTACGCTATAATTTGCACTCTGATCGCTGGTGGACTCGTAAAACTATTTGTTATTCGTGACATTACATTTTTGGATATTGTGGCGTTGATTTTCGGTGTGCCAGCGTTTCGTCAACCTACAATGACTTCTAGCAGAATTCAATTCATATCTTGGACTTTATTCGGATTTTTTCTCACGCAACTTTATCTAGGATCGTTGGCTGATTATTTGATTAGAACATCGGACATGCAGATGGAATCTATGGAGGAATTAGCTAACTCAGGACTAAAGATAGGCGGGACTCAGCGATTCGCGGATTTGTTACAAACGCCTGATAAAGCTGACATGGAAGATAACGTTGACCGAATGATTCGTGAGAAACTTATTATTTTGGAGAGACGTGATTATAGTAATCAACTCTTAGCTCTTGTCGAAGGAAGAAATACTAGTTTGGCTCTTCTCGTGATGTTGAATTTGACAAGTAATCCTTCTAAAATAGGACGCGCACATATTATAAAAGAGACTGTGGGTAGTTATCCGTTGGCCTTCGTCACTCGACAAGATTTTCCATATTTAGCAGAATTTAATTTCAAGATTCAAATCCTCGTTCAAGCTGGTCTCGTTGAATTTTGGTCAAGCATGGCGATGTTAAACCGAAGTCATTACATCGTAGAAAATGAGGATGACGATTCCAAGATTGACATCGATGATATCGCGCCAGCATTTTTCCTCTTGATCATGGGATGTCTTGGTGGATGCTGTCTGCTAATTATAGAAGTTATTTTTTATCCATCTAAATTGTTTCTATAAATTTACTTTTAAACGCTTTTATATAAACATTATCTGTGTATATATGGTTATTTTGGACCGATATCTCATTATATTTTATTTTAATTGAACATTATAAGTCGATATTGCTAATGTTTTATACTTTTTAAGGACATCTTCGTCACATATTTTGAACATTTTTCTCGGTTATACGATAACTACCTTGGCTTATTAACCGTTCATAATAAGTCTATCGAGATTCCGCGGAATATTTAACCACGTCTCCCAGATAAAATAGCCCCGCAGCGAGTTAATTAGAAAAGTTCCCGGCTAATTTCATTAAACCTCTCTCTGTTTAGCTTGCCGAAGGAGGTAAAACTTTAAGAGGTGAGAAGTCGATTTTAAAATTTACCTAACAACATTATTGACTGTGATGTATTTGGTTGGTGCAAAAGATTTTCGTATCTATCGAATAAAGTTGAAAACAATTACAGCAAACAATTACAGCACAATCGAAGCGAACGCGAACGTGTCGTCAACGGCTTCGATATTCTTTTTAGTTAAAAATTTTTTTAAGTTGTCTTTTTAAATAACTCCAAATTTCTAATTTTGCGTAACACAGATGTCGATGAGAAAAGCGACGAACATACCAAACGTTATGATTTACAATATAATATAAAACTCGAAATGTCTTGAAATATAATTTATAAAGAAATGCATACAAAATATATTATAGCACGTACATTTTGCAAGATGTTTTTTCGAGATTTCCGAGATAAATATTTTTTTAAGTTAAATTTTGTGACGTAAAACACTTATGATATTTAAAATAAGTATTATATATGATTATTTTAGAAATTTGTAACAACGATAAACGATAGTTTCTGAAAGAGATTGTAAAAATGTTATTTTTAATAGTTTAAGTTTCTTACTGTATACTTTGACAATTGGTTAACACCCAGGATCGATATTAAGGTATTTTCTAGGTACACCTTGTTGTAGTGTAGTTATTTATGTTTCATGAACAATTTGAAAACATTTTTTTTTTACTTTACTATTCCGTGTCGGATTTCGTATTTGATTAAATGTGATATCGTGATGCTTGATCAATCCTGCGTGCGATTGATCGTTATTGGATATTTCAACGGTATTTGCTTTTAAAGAATAGGTTTTTTTTAAATGAAAATGTTAGGTACAACACTGACATTGATTAAAAATTAATCATACGCTGAAAACTATTTGAAAATATGCGTTGCTTATGTAAGATTTCAATTTCAATGACACTTGATCACTCTTTCTTTTGAATGTCATAGTTTTAACAATATTACATCAAGATATTAAATGTAAATCTCCAGTTAAAGTATGCAATAAAATGTATAATTTCTATAGTTAAGAATAAAATAAAAATCAGAAAAAAGTTACGAGTCTGTGTGTGATGACAGTTTCTATCATTTCCATATGTTAGTGCATTATAGCACAGAAAATAACTCTTTTGATTAACACGGAAAAACAGTAGGAAAGAAGGGTAACAAGTTAATTTTACTTTTTTTTATATCATAGGACTATTACTCCATCGATCATACGATCGGATTATGGCGCGACGTTATTCGACGTTATTCGTACATAGACTTTTGTGTGAGCGAAAAAGTCAGAGAGAGAGAGAGAGAGAGAGAATGTGTGTGTGTGTGTGTGTGTAAGATGACATCGTTAATCAGAGCGAATCCAAGTATGATTTCCGGTCATTGGGTCACGATCGACGACAAAACGAACCAAACTGCGGACGAAAGGCCCCGTTCACCCGATTGGCGCGAATGCTCGTGTAATCAGTTATTGGCGTTGAGTTTACGTTTTAATGACAGTGAAACGTGCGCCGAATGCATTTCTGCCGGAATGCAATCGGACTGAAGCGCGCGACATACTACACCGAAAATCGATGACTATGTCACGGCATCATAATGAATATCAGCGTAAACTTACTAACAAATCTTCAAGACTATCTCGTAAAAAATATCCTGGTAAAAAATTTTTCATATAAAAACGTATAAATATATATAATCATATAATATTATATAAAATATTATATAAAATATGTCCATACTATGTTTTCTTCTCTTGTATAATCTTTGTCCGCATGTATACAAGAAAAAAAAAATAAAAAAAAAAAGAATTAGAAAATAATTAAAAGGATAAACAATAAAAAAACAATGCAAAAATTATCCTTTTAATTATTTTCTAATTCTTTTTCTTAATACTTTTTCTTGTACATACGAACAGAGATCATACAAGAGAAAAAAAGCATATATATATATGGACATGATTTATATAATATTTTATATAATATTATATAATTATATATATTAATGTTTTTATATAAAAATTTTTTTACCGGGATATTTTATAGCACGTTCACAAAATCATTCCGTGATAGAATGACATTAATTAGTTGGATGCTAAAATATAACAGTTTGGAATTTAACGCATTGATGTGTTTTACAAATTCGTATTTGTGATAGTTGCAAGTAATAAATTCAAATACTTTTAGACATTTAATTTATAAATAGTACCGATGAAAAACGTAGCAGTTATACTAAACAAAGTACTGACATGAGCAAGAAGACTGAAAAGTCTTTCACAGCTATCTCTGAAAGTTTAAGGATTAATGGAGCTGATGAAATTTATTTCGCGCACGATTCAAAAGAATTTCGACGGTAGAGAACCAATAGACAGAAGAGAATGAAAGAAAAACAGCACGAATATATCGGAATATACGCAATCTGGTAAATATATGCAATCTGGTATCCGGCGGAGATGGCCAAGTCGATTTTGTTCTTTTAGGATTCTACGCATTACGAAAACGTGTAATCCAAGTCCAAGCCGGACTAAAGTTCATAGAGGAGCAGAAACTGAGATAACGCCAACGGAGTTAAGAAAGAGAAGTAGGGAGCCCAAGAAGGGGGTGAGCTCTGCAGATTTACGGCTACCAAGCTACAGCTTACTAAGCCTGATCTGGTACGATCTTACCTTCTTCTACCCTCCGTCTTCGTTCCTTCCCTTTCCTGTTTATTACTTTTAGTTAGGCGACTCTCTTCGTTTTTAGTAACAAGTAACGGCCAGATATATACAGACGTTTTGGCGCCGGATGCGAGGCGACGCGACGTCTCGACGATGTTGAATCCAGATCTTGGCGACTATGCACTGCGCCATTTATATGAATCTCGCTTTCATTTTTATCTTTTTTTTTTCGCAACATGGATATTCCGCATCGTCGATCACAAAAGGACTCGTTAAGGAAAAGTCAATTACTTAACAAGACCTTGGCATACTTTCGGTTTTAACTCATATAACGATATGAATTCTCTCTCACACAACTTATTTATTTAGAAAACTGAATAAATTGTGTAGTTTAATCCTCGATTATATACATGTATATGTACACTTTCGATGGAGTAGATATTATTGATTTCGTGACTTTATAAAGAGCGAGTTGGTAGCGTATAATATGAGATGTGGTATCCAAACTATACAAACAGTGATAAACTAAACTGTGTATCTCCTCTATACTATTATACAAAGAACTTTGCTATGAGACGTGTTCATTTTTCACCCTCTTTATGGGTTGGATGTTGGATTCATGTTCTGTTTTGCAGCTCGTGATATAATGCTTGCGTTTTCATTGTCAACTAAAAATTGTGCTATTTTATTTCTTATATTGTTGCTATTGCACACACAGGTTGTATAGATGCTAATATAAATTTGTGTTCTTAGCGACTATTGCATACAAATTTATATTAGTTGTATCAGATGCCGAATAGAAAACGGGAAATAGATGTTGATCGAAGAAGGAAACATGTGGATGATGTTGATTATTTGAGAAACAATAACGGAAAAAATTGGCCGTTCCTGAATTCGGAATGTCTTTATAAGATTGGTGACCTGGTTTCGCTCACAATCAGTCCACTGGCGAATAGAAATATTAGAAATTGTCTGCTATATCTTCTTTTCTTTTTTCCTTTTTTGAAACCCAGATAAAAACCTTGATTTATATCTTTTTTCACATCACGGCGTCATTTTCAACATGTCAACAGTTTTACTAAAAACTTTTTTTCATCTCGGTATTGCTATTCATTTCTTTGATTCAAAAATCTTGATAACGCGTATAACGTAATGCGAAATGTGAATTTATTACAATAATACGTATATACATATGTCATATTAAATGATATTGCAACAACTATGTCTGTGCGCGTTGTTGTCATGGTTTATCACGGATTATTTGTTGGAACGCACACTGTGGGCTTTTTTTAAATGTCAGCTTATAGAAACGTAGAGAGACAAAGTAACGTTGACAGAGAGATGAAATAATCCACGCGATATACAATGCGAAGTAAAAGTTTGAAAATGTGAAATTTGAGATTTTACGAACTCGGGGAGGCAGATTACTCTTCCGGTTTCGCAGTAATGCCGCTTTTGTTTGAGTGCGACCAATTCATACGTTTTATGCTTCAAAGTTTTTATCTTTTTAGAGGACATGGATACGATCATTTTTGTATAATTTAAAATTCTTGTGTAATTTAAGTTTTGTTTCACGAATTTTGTTCACGAATTTTGTACACGATTTAATTTCTTCGTTGTTCTCTGTGCACTTTTAGTTTCAGTAAAATCTTTTTATTTATGTTCTTATTTTTTTATAATTTCTTTCTCCATGAAAAATCTCGGAAGAATCCACATCTATTCCAGCTGAAGCGGAACGGAACGTGTACTTACGTTCGCATTCTCTGTATACTTGTAGAAACTTTTAATTACATCATACTCAAAAGGTCTTCGTTAATTTAATGAGAAACTCTCGCGCACGTATTGTCTTCCGCAAGATAAACAATGACTCGCGGTAAATTACACAAAGTTAAAAATTTGATCGCAGACTTTTATCGAACGTTAAGCCATTAAGCTTGCCATCAGAATTAATTGTGTGTTTATATAGCCAACATCGAAATGTTAATATGACGTTATTAAATGGGATTATTATTGTTTGGCAAGAGTTTGATTCGTTCGTCAAGCGAAATCAATCGCTAATCATCACAACTAGTTTACCGTTCAACATAGATTCGCTACGATTTTTCTATATCTGTAATTTTACATTGTATTATATATTAAAGATATTGGAAAAAGGATTATATAGATTCTGTCTAAAAGGCTTTATTATAATTAACTCGATGAGCGCGGAGGTGTTTCAGGAAACACACACAGGTGGGACATGGATCAATGCGATCCGGGTTGCCTCAGATTCTTTCGTTCAGATAAAACAGCTACTTTTCTATCAATGAGCGGCATTGAGTCGTTGTCTTCGCTATTCTTGTCGCGCTATTGTTGAGCTCATTGTTAGTGTCCTTTAGAATCGTCAACTCTTTTTCGCGTATAAAGTTACAATTATTCCTTTTATTAATATCCGCTTGTTTGGAACGATCGAACTATATCCATTTTACGACCTAGAAGATAGGCCCTCAGAGCCTTGTATACCATAAAGAAAGCACGCGGTCTATTGATTTTACATTTACCTGTATGCATGGAGTAAATATCCGTGAAGCGTGATAGTTACACGTGGGATTGCTGTACACAACGTCGTTTGGCGTCAGCCAAACCGTATCGGATCTATTCAACGTCAGCGTTACATCGCCCCCATCGAGTAGCGTAATTTGCTTCGCATGCGATTTGCGATTTAACATGCGAACATGTCCACATGGTGAGACAGATTAGTGCGCTAATCTATTGCTCCCTGTTTGCGAAAACACTGTACAAGCGTAGCTTCTTGTTCCCGAAATTTCTTATTCCAAAACTACAATGAATGTATAGATATATATATATTTACGTTATCGAATATTATACAATAATACATATGATTTAATTCTATTGATAATGTGTGCACGCGCGTTGCAATGATGGTTTCTTTTTCTCCCTTTATAGTTCATTAACTTATCAAGCTTTTTTCATGCTTTTTTTCTCTTAATTTATTTAATCATAACAATATTTTATAAATATTAAATGTTAATATTGCTGCTACAAGGAATGCAAGTTGATCAAGTTTAATTATATATTTCGGTACTATTATTATTATTTTTTGTTCTATAATAAATAAATATATATAGAGCTGTTTCAGGCGAACTTATGTATATATCAGGAGACTTGGCGTAAAGTAAAGAAAACTGTAAAGAAAATTCTCAATTGCCGTAGCTGCTATTAAGTCGAGAAGATATTTAAGATGATGAATGCTTTTCACGAGTACCTTTGGGGGGTAGCGCTCGTAGAGGCGAGAGAAGAAAATACCAGACCAGACCGTTCCTGAAACTTCAGGCTCATTTCGCGCGGACGAATAAAAGTAATTTGCTAAAGGGTCTTCGCCTAATCCACCCACAATCCCGCTAGCCAAATTCTCTTTTCCTGTCTTCGTGGAAAATCCCTACCGTATATACGCCCTACCGAGTATATATACCCGGACTATATATATACATATATACGTTTTAAATGGAGATATCTCCGCGTAGTTGACTTAAAATCGATCTGCAATCTCACGAGTATTCTTTTTCGGGTTTTCTTTCTCTCCTCGAAAATTATCCTTATCGTTGGTGGTTCGCTCGATAACGTACTCTCTGTAGTTGGTTAGTAGGATGACTCGTAGGGAATGGAACCGATATTCGCATTAGGATAACGGTGACAATCGGGTGATGTCGGGTAATATGTCAGCGCGTGATGATTGATTGTAAACTACATCCCGCGTTCATAAATCGGTGCGTGATAGTGACATGTAAGCACGTTAATACTCTAGTCCTGGTAATACTATTGTCGTATTATATGTATTTGCTACATGTACGGAACGGAACAGACCAAGATAATGGGTAAACCCATTGATGTATGTATCTATCGTATTAGCGGCATACGTTATTAAAGAGATGGATGTACCGCACGGCCGACAACGTCGTAGATACGAATTTACTCATTTGTAGCAGAACACGTTTTCAGTGTGTGCAAAACGCCAACACCGCAAGTTGCCACGTCACGTAGAACATATACTCGTTATAATAATAATAATTAAAAAAAAAAAAAAAGAATTTGATTGAATTGCATGGATTATTGTGGTATACCGTATGTTGTTGTACATATAATATATAAAAGACAAAATGTAGAGCATTTGGATTGCTTGCGGAATGGATTAATGGGATAATTTTGATTCGACGATTTTGATTTTGGAAAACCGATTAAGGATGATGCACAAAGATGCACAAAAATGCACAAGACTTACCTACGAAAATCTCTGCTCCAGCAAGCGTATATCACGGGATTCATTCCGCTGTTAATCCATCCGAGCCAAGTGACGGCCGCAGATACGATTTCTTCCTGCCATATGCACCTCGTGCAGAATCCCGACCATAGATTCACAACGAAGAACGGCAGCCAGCAAATAATGAATACCCCCATAACGATACCAAGGGTCTTTGCCGCCTTTTTCTCCTTGGCGAACTTGGCGAGCTTACGCGAGAGAGAGAAATTTTTGCCTATGTGTTGTCTGTTGTTGATCCTCACGGAGGGTACTCTGGTGAGACCATTGTTGTGAAGAGGAACCGTTAATGGTTCCTCGAGATCTTGGAGATCCTCAGGGGTGCTCGAGGCGGTACGAAAAAGATGCCTGGCGTCGGTGTTGGTGGATGATATACCGCCTCGGTGTATCCTGAGCGTGAGCTCGAGCTCGCCCGAGGCCATCATCACCTGCTTCGTGCCGAGTTTGAGACTCCTCGTCTGTATCACGGCGGCGCGATAGATTCTGTAATACGTGAATACCATCACGAACAGCGGCAGGTAAAAACTGATTGTCGACGAGAATATCAGGTAACCGAGATTCTCCGTGAAGGGACACTTGTTTTCCGGCACTTGCTCAGTACGAACGGCACGCCACCACGCTATCGCAGGAAAGGAGATCGCACTCGAACAAATCCATACGATGGCTATTAGAATCGCCGCGCGTTTCCTGCTCATTCGAGTCGGATACGTGAAGGGATCGGTAATCGCCCAGTAGCGATCCAGGCTGATAACGCACAGATTCAGGATGGACGCGGTTGAGAAGAGAACGTCCAGCGAGCGCCAAACGTCGCACCAGTCCGTCGTAAACAGCCAACGGTTCTCCAATACCTCGTACACCGCGCTAATTGGCATCACTACCAGTCCTACCAGGCAATCGGCGCAAGCCAATGAAGTCACGAAGTAGTTCGTAGCTGTGTGCAGATGCCTCTCTCGAAATACCGCGAGGATCACTAACGAGTTGCCGAAAACGGTAGCTACGGAGAAGAGCAATAGAACGATCGCGAGACCGATTCGATCGGTAGCGAGTCCCCAGAGATCCTCATAGGTATGATTGAACGGCGGCGAGCTCGCGTTATAAAAGCTCCTGCCAAGATCGTTGTTTGATGAAGCGTGTGCCTCTTCTTCCCAGTTCAATAAGTAGATCTCGCTGTCATTCATGTTTTACCGTGCGCAGCCGTATTACTACGACGTATTACGGTCTCTCGACCGTAATCTCACCCTGACGTGCGATTGCCCAAGATGATTTTGACCTTCTTAATTTTCACCAGACGACCAAACGTCAGGGTATCGGCCGTGCGTAAACATTTGCGAGATCTCTCTTCGTCTTCGCACGTCCTCTCATCTCGTCTCGCTGAGATGCCTCGAATCATTACAATGCTTAATGAAATTGCTGTATTTTACATTAGCTAAGATTTAATTCTGTGTATCTTATAAAGCTTATTGTTAGTTAAATTTTGTCAACATATTTATCGTGAATCTAACTGACGAAAGAATATTCGGCACCACGTATTCTTTTCGGCCGCGATACTAAAGTAACATGTAGAGAACACAAGCATCACACAGGCATAATCGAGAGATAATGTCAAAAGTTTAGATTTCTTTCTTCTACTTCTCCAGCAGTATTTTCATTCGGCTAGGATTATCTTTCATTCAAATATCTGAAACAAGCAAATAAGCTCGTTAAATGTCTGTCCCTTAAAATAGGTACTAATGAGAAAAACGAAACAAAAATTTCGCGAGTTTGACAATTTTGCTTGAATTATATTATGATGGAATTAATTTAACACGATTTACTTAACAAATGCTTTTTTTTTACTTTATACTCTGATAAGAATCTCTAATATTATTACGAGTTTTTTAACACGAATCTTTTAATGAAAATCAATCTTGGATGTTCTCGTTTGAACAAATATTTTACCGTCGGCAATCAATTTATTGCATTTTAATTTATAGATCGAATGATGATTAATTTCGTTTACAATTTTATCGATTAGATTACTCGAAAGATGTCGGTAATACGAAAACAATAGCAGTAATTTTACCGAAATGGAGCCGTTACCTGCGGAATATATAATTATAGAGAGATTGTGCGATATCATATCATATCTCATATATGACAATATGGAATATGTAGACATAGGACTCATATATGAAATACTGTAAAAATTAAGTCATACATAATAACATATCATAATATGATTATAATATGATTTAACATTATGATTAAAGCAGAAACAGTAAACTAATATTTTCTGAATGTCTAAAAGCAGCGAATTTCATTTTAAGAACACTTTTTCTTACTGTCTAACTTTGAAATCAAATGCTGAATAGGACATGGTAGGATATGAAAAAGATTCATGTTTCGGCGTTCAAAGTGAGACCATGGGACAAATTAGGCTTTTATTCGTGCAAATATTTATCGCTGTTTGACCAAAGCAGTTCTGATCGTAAAGCTAAACCAACGATAGTATAGTTTAGTTAGGTTTGCGCTTAGATCCTGTTTTATGTACATATATCGTAATACAGAGAATCCGAGGTAACAGAGATCAAGTAATCTTAGTTCTCCCACATTATAACCTATAGCAATCGCTGTTGTGGATTAATGATAAAGCGATCAAAGTAAAGACCAACATGTATTAACGTAATCTAATTTTAAGTGAACCTTCTCGCCTCGATTATTTTATTGACTAACATTGGTGGCTCCATTTTGTACCAGAGACATGACGTCTGAGAACTTATCTCTTTGAGATATTATCTTTTTTGGAGTAATAAAGCTATCGTGCCCCCGTCCCCCACACACACATACACACGCGTCATCACATTTTGCATATGGGTCTTGAAATTTTTTCTAATATTGCTTCTGTTTTTTGAATATTAAATTTGTGCAGACAAATAAAAGCTTATCGAAAGAAATTGTAAATATTGGATCAGTTTTCATAAAATGCTGTTAAATCGTAAAAAAGTACTTTTATTATATCGGAATCGAAAGTGATATATAATATTATTAACTTCAATTATCACAACAAACTGAAATTCGCGAGCGAATGTTGTAATAAGCTCGCTCATATGCCCTACGTGGCCTACGTGAACAATCAGTTTCAAAGAGCTTCGACATTCTGTTTCAGCGCAAACTGTCTATAAACCGCTCGCCGACTATGGCTATTTATGGATATTCATCGTTGAGTGATTATCACGATCATCTTTGACCCCGCACCCTCGCGTCCTCGTGGCCTCCCTCGTTTTAGCAGTGTAATATACGTATACTCGATCTTACACGTAGAGCTCCCTCCCGTGTTGAAGAAACCCGCCGTTGAACTTGGTCATTACGGATGAATAGTACCAATGGCGATCGATATGCACATAGTACTATAAAAAAGTTTTCCAGAACGGCCAACTCATTAATGAAGAATATATTTTTCTGGAACGGCGAATCAAAAATATCTGCTCCTTTGCACAAATAATACATTTTAGGAGCAAAATAATTTTAAATTGTTTTTATAAATTTATAAAGATTTATCTTTTCTAATTTAATGATGTTTCAAACTTCATTGATAAATGGAAAATATATTTTATTGAAAATAAAGTGAGCTAGACACTCTTGACATCTGTTATCTATTTATAAATAATAAATGATTTAAAAACACAAATTCAAGAGTATAAACATATAGCGCAATGTTAAATGGTTTTTATAAATGTGTTTGTAATGAAAAATGTTTCTCTTAAAAAGGAAATCCTTATATCACGTTTCTCGAAGAGGGTTGAGCTAGATCTACGTGTGATTTCTTTCCCTGTTTCTTTAGGAATTGCGATAGGAGGATCAAGAGAGGGTAGAGATAACTTACGTAACTGTTCGGAAGAATAAGAAAGAATATCAAGAGCAAGGAAGCGAAAAATTGGACGGAAAAATCGAGAGAATAATATATAACTGTTTTGCAAAACTCGCATATGAAATAATGAGAATAACATTGTTTCAATATTTAATTTGCAATCAATGTGTGTGATCTCGTATTTGTATAAATAATTAAATAAAATGTTCATTATTATATAATTTTTGGTATCGAAAATTAATGGAGAAATTAATGGAGATTATGTAATTATTGATTTTCAATTAATTAACTTCTCTCTCTCTCTCTTTTACTCGCTACTGAAATAATATACATCATAACATAAATTAACTTCGACGAGTCGCAGGAAGGAGGAATCTGTTTTACAAGGCTTGATATCACATTCGCGTTTGTAACTCTGTCGCAGCCAATTGCAAAATTGCACAAGATTGGTCGAACGATAATCGTGCAAGCCGGAAATCCGTGGGTGTCAATGGTCTATTATATCATATGTAACTCTCCAGACATTCATTCATTTTGCACTTGTGAAATTCAATTATCTTTTAATAAAAATACCTGCTTACTTGGAAAAGATGGCTAATTGTATTTACACTAATTTATTTTGCACAACGCTGCAGTGAAGATAAATTGCATATTGATCCAAATAGTGGATCGACATATCGGATAATCTATCGCGTATTTGTTCCAAATTTTATGGATATTAGAAGTCAAGTTGGATAGAATATTTTCAGATTTCAATTTCTTGAATTGTCGATAATTTTGTGTTTGCACAAAGAATTAACGATACGATAAAAGGAATTACTTTGGGGGAGGCCCAAGCCCGACTGGGACTGTTGCGTCATTGAATTTGAATTTGAAAAGGAATTCTAAAAAAACGATTCTAAAGAATTTACCTGATACTGCCATTTCAGAACGAGAAGCAACTCTTCAGCATACTGGCACAATATGATCCTCGTTTTTCACTTCCGTGCTTTCACACGGTAGTGTTAGAGACACATGATTTAATTTAAAAATTATATACAGTGAATAGCGAATATTCTTTCGATAAGCTTTCAATCCTCGATAATCTTATCTCATCTTACATCAATGAACATTTTTTTTACCGTTTTTCTCTCGTGTCATCGTATCGTATATGTCTCATAAAAATGTCTCACTCCTCGAACAATTCTAAACGTTACAATGTGCATTTCTGTTGCGACGACGTAATGAAACGTGTTGGACGTGGAAAATTAAAATAGTTTGAGTATTAAAAAAGAAAAGGATAGATAAGCTTTGAAAATAAAATGGCAATGGCTAGGTATGGTCGCTAGTGTATTGATAATGTTTAAAGTGCCTGCTACGTATACATTTTGAGACGCGATCAACTTCATCCACCGTATATCTGCTACGTATCGCGGAGCGTTTCATCGTGTGTCACAAAGATCGTTAATCTTTTTCATGGAACGAATCATCTTGAAAATATATGTAAAATATTCTTCTATGCGAACAGTTAAAAAATTTTATTATAAAAAAAAAAAAAAAAAATGATAGAACACTTCATAATTGACACTGATAAGATTTGAATAGTAACTTAACGAATGTTTAACATATCCGTGCTTGTGTTTTGCCTAAAGCAATTAATGCTTGATTTTTTTAAGGCGAATTAAATAAATTAGAGTAAAATCTAACTTAATGAAAGAAGTAAAAGTTTTCTGAAATTTCCAACTACTTTTCGATCTAACATACAGAACCTTTGTAGGCGAGATATACTATCTCATTAAGTACTAGAAAAGGTCCCTACACATTTTTCTATTTTAAATCCTTCTATAATCTCGGGTTAGGTCCTAATTCAAATTTCGAGACCGCAATTGGTATTTAGAGGTAAAAAGAGTTGCTCTTTCCAAAAATTCAGTCGGTGATGGGATGGGATATCTGGAAAAAAAGATATAAAGGTTGAAAGTGAAAATAAGAAAAGTAAGTGTGACCCCTGCCTTTTTACTGACAAATATTCAGCTAATAGACGACTTCGTTTAACTTTTTGAGTAGAATAAATTGATATAATTATTATTTAAGTGATTTATATAATAAAAATTCTACTGAAAAAGGTAGACAAAAACATTGAATATTTTTCAGTAAAAAGGCAGGAGTCACTCTTTTTACTTCCACTTTCAACTTTTATACCTTTTTTCAGATATCTTATCTTGACTTTTGACTAGATTTTCGGAAAGAGCAACTCGTTTTACCTCTAAATATTAATTGTAGTTTAAAAATTTGGATCAGGATTCGAATTGTAAGGATTTAAAACAGAAAAACCCGAAAGGGATGTCCTAGAATTTAAGCTAATATAATTATTTCGGGGGTTTTTTTGATTGAACAATCGATAAATGGTATTATAGATCCAAGTGTTTCACGTTTATAATGTAACTTGAGTCGTTTACTTCGTTTAATGTGTTAAATTGTGTGAAGAAAAGCGAAAAGTTTTATTGAAACGACGGAAGACGATGGAAGACGATAGCGGTAACGACGAAGGTATTAAATAAAGATTATGCCGCGGGCGAGACGCTACGCACCGTTATGTACAACTTTTGTATTACGAGCCGACCGTAATACAACATTCTTTCGCTGAGGAAAATACGCGGATACCGCGGTTGTTCTTCATTAGCAAATTATCGCGCCAGTTAACGCGCGTTAATTGTCCTCTAATCTAACATATCCCGTTTGCACGTGGACCTTCAAGGTCAGACTCTTTCCTGATCGTCAACATTCGATCGATTCGATTGATGCACGATGCACGATGCACGATGCACGATGCACGATGCACGATGC